GTGAATTATAAAATCTTAGGGGGGGGGTTGTGGTGTGGCCCTCCCCCCCTTTAATGCATTCTGTTTTTATTTCTTTAGAAACAAACACACCCTATGCATTGTGTCAAATTAATTGATGGGACTGTTTCAAAAAATGAGATGAAAATGAATGCAAAACACAATTACTTCCACAATATATTACATTATACTCCCCAGAAGTTCAGTTTATGGGCCTAACAATAGTATGAAGAAGAGGCAAGTATTTAATTGCATATTTCTACATACTCTGTAGTGAGATATAATCTGTATTTCAGTGGCACTGTAAAAATAAAAATGTTTAGAGATGTAAAACGTGTTCAGTGATACTGACAAACTTCCTATTCACATAGTATGAAAACTTGAACTCCTGCTGTAGCTAAGTATTTCTTGATAAATAATGACTTTCTGAAGTGGTATACACCCTGAACTGGCTGTTCTTGTAGCCTCCCAATACTGCATAACAACTTCGTGTCCCTTCCTGTGACCCTCTATTTGCTGTGAAGAACCTGCTGTAGCTTCCAAGTATGACTTTTATTGGAGCATTTTGTAGTTTGTTTTGCCCAGCCAAATGAGGAAGGACCTGGTGTATGAAAGTGAAGTGCAAAGACCATAAAAGATAAATGCCTAGAAAAATAGGAGCTTCATTAGTTCTCACAGCACTTTAAAAATGAATAATTCCCCTCTTTACCACTGGATATTTAGGAAACACTTTCAGTAGTTATTGCTCCAAAACAGACCACTCTTCTCAGAAAGCTTTTTAAAGAAGTAATAACCTAGGTTATGGGTGAAGAAATAAATACGTATATAAATTCAGGCCTTATAAATACAATGAGCTTCATAAGGTAACACGAAGAGCCATTTTTTGGTTCTATTTAACATTTAGTTACCTAAGAAATATGACAGAGCTGCAAGGTATCAAATCAAATATTTTTTTCCAAGTGTGGAGATTCAGACCCTCCAAAAAGAAGCTTTACTGAAATAATCTGTTCTATGCACTGCATGTAACAACTGGAGATAAAATTTATTCATATATCTAAAAAAATGACAGTTGTCGCTTGTGGTGTTATCCATTTCTTGTCTAGCAAAGATTTGTCCTTATTACAAGTTGTATTTAATATTATACTCATTTAGCTGGCATTTGTGCATATTTCTTGGCACTTTCACAAAAGATGAGAAAGCTGCTTTTAGCCAGTGGTATTACTGTGAAGTGAAAAAGGCATATTCGAGACCCTTCCTGATTATTTTGTTTCTTTTTGGTATATCTTTTGGATGAAAACAGATTAACAATTGAACCTTGAAGTGTTGCTTGTTCTACACCATCAGTTGCCCTTTAATTGCAGGATTAAGTTTGATTTCCAGTGGAGAATAATGTAATAGATTTTTAAGAGGCTAATAGATTTTTAGTATTCTAAGCAGCTTAGACACAGGTTTTGAATGTTATTTGCCAAGCAATTTTGCCACTGTCTTTGTTATACGTGATCAGTTTTCTCTCCAGGATCAAAAGGTGTGTTTTTTGGTTTTGTTTTGTGGTGTGGGTTTTTTTTAATGGAATAAGTATATTCTCCTACTTCTGTTGTATTCAAAATTACTTACCCTTATTTTATCATCTGTATTCTTTTCTCTACCTGCACCATATCATTGAGAAGCAGATGTTACAGCACTTTTAATGTAACTTTTGCTGTTCCTGCTTATACTGTGTTTAGAGAGTGCATAATGTGGTGCATATTTTAATTAAGAGTGAATTCTGGAACTCATTTGTTGCTTGTATTTCATTAAAAAAAATAAATTATGCCAATAACTGACATTGTTAACATGTGCTGGTGCTGTTTTGCATTTCCCCTCTTTGTTCCTTGGTTCGGTCTGTAATGATTGTAGATTTGTTTTGTTTGGTTTTCTTCTCATGTTAGTGAGCCCTTTTGTTCATTCTGTAAAGCACCTACTGCTCATGTATTACAATGCTGCGTATTTCCACAGTGTCTCTTGGGCAGAATTCTTAATGGTAAGAAAGAATTCTATAAAATTCCACTCTTGCTTTGAGGGAAATAGAAACTAAATTTCTGGTGTTCTTCTGAGTTGCAGAGGAAGGTTTTAAAGTATGACCGTGTCCACTTGAAACACTGAGGTCAAAGCCCCATTGTAAAGTTTCATGATATTTAAACTACTTTCATGGTGTGCGGCTGGCAGTGCCAAAATAACATTTGTTAAAATGTAAACTTAGGTTATTACTAGGTGTTGATAAGATTTAATAACCCTTTTCTAGAATTCCTAGTGGTGGGATTCTACAGCAAAATAATAAAAGCCTTGTGAGCCTTGTGGGGCATCTTACATCATTCAGTTACCCCTTATAGTGTTTAACCAGAGGAAACAAAGGACATTTAACCATTTTATCAGATGTCAAACTAGCTTAAAGAGCTATAGCAGGTTAGAAAATTTAGAGACACGGGGTCTCTAATCTCTTGCCTCATATACAGTGCCTAAATAAAGTATAAATCACAGGTAGAGCTCTTCCTACATGGTTCTGGATCAGCACGAACATTTGATATAATAATTACAGAACAGAAAAATTTATTCAATAGACAATATTACCTGTCTTGCTAAGGTAGTTATGCTGTGTAAATTAAGGTAAAAAAACCAATATGGATTACATTATATCTGTAAAGAATGTACAAGAAATACTAACAGGAATGGTTACACCATGATGCATTTTAAACTATTTTACTTTTATTAACAATTTACATTGTAATAGTAATTGTAACAGTTATGTTTCAAGCTTTAACTACCGTTTTAAAAAAAACAGTTTTAATAAAAATCAGAAGACTTGGCATTTGGTTTTGTGTAACAGAATACCTGTAAAATGAAAGATAATTCCAGTCGTGGAGAATTTGCCCCGGCATTATGACTGCATTGTTAAGTCTTTAATATGAAAACTCAGAAGAGTAGTATGTTCACAACATTTTGGAGACTTACAATATTTAAAATTAATTTGAACTGAGCAAGGAGAAATTGCTTTTGAGGCAGTAGACTCCATATTACATAGTTTTGCAGTTGCCCATGGTAACTTAAAGACCCTATAACTATGAAAGTCCTGTTTTCTGACTGATCTTTATCTCATTTTGAATGACTAGATTAACAGGTCTATCAGTATTCAGATTTTCCAGTTCAGACCCAAGAATTCACTGCCCCAGATCCAAACCAGATCTGTATGCAGTGTTACTATTTGAGACTGTCCCAAGCTTAAAGGAGAGGTAGGAAAGAACCTTATTTCATTTTTAAAGAGTATGTAAGTTAAAATCTAGATGATATCTAGCAATATTCTGGAAAAAGTGTTCGCAAACTGAATGTACAGTAACCGATCTGTTATATTCCAAACACTAAATAAGTTAGTTTATTTCAATATTAAATGCATTTTAGAACAATCCTTTTCCAGACCTCTAAAGGTACTAGCAAACACCAGTGTATACCTAGTTGAACAGCTACAGAAGAGAACACTTCCAATCATAGAATGGTTTGGGTTGGAAGGCACCTTCGAAGATCATATAGTCCAACCCCCCTGCCATGGGCAGGGACATCTTTCACTAGATCAGGTTGCTCAAAGCCCCATTCAACCTGACCTTCAACATTTCCAGGGATGGGGCATCCACAGCATCTCTGGGCAGCCTGTTCCAGTGTCTCACCACCCTCATCATAAAAAAATTTCTCCCTTATGTCCAAGCTAAATCTACCCACTTTCAGTTTAAAACTGTTGCCCCTTCTTCTGTCACCACAGGCCCTGGTAAAAAGTCTTTCTCCATCTTTCTTATAAGCCCCCTTCAAGTACTGATAGGCCACAATACAGTTTCCCCAGAGCTTTCTCTCCTCCAGGCTGAACAACCCTAACTCTCTCAGCCTTTCTTCACAGGAGAGGTGTTCCAGCCCTCTGATCATTTTTGTGGCCCTCCACTGGACCCACTCCAACAGGTCCATGTCTTTCTTGTACTGGGGACCCCAGAGCTGGATGCAGTACTCCAGGTGGGGTCTCACCAGAGCAGGGTAGAGGGGCAGAATCACCTCCCTCAACCTACTGGCCACACTTCTTTGGATGCAGCCCAGGATATGATTGGCTTTCTGGGCTGTGAGCACACATTGCTGGCTTATGTGTAATTTCTCATCCACCAGTATCCCCAAGTCCTTCTCCACAGGGCTTCTCTCAATCCATTCATCCCCCAGTTTGTACTGATGTTGGGGATTGCCCTGACCCAGGTGCAGGACCTTGAAGTTGGCCTTGTTGAACTTCATGAGGTTTGCACAGGCCCTCTCCTCAAGCCTGTCAAGGCCCCTTTGGATGTCATCTGTTCCCTCAAGCGAAACAACTGCATCACTCGCTGCGGAATGATAGATTCTTTTGTATCCTTTAAAAGCAAAACTTACATTTATCTTTGCAATACCTCTTACACATAACAGCATAGTGCAAATAAAAATGATTTCTTTCCATAAAGTAGTACCTTGGCTGTATCTCACCGAGATAGGCATTAAACAGAAGATGGCTTGTAGGAATTTGATGCCTGCTTGATGACTGTTTATGCTAGGTCAGCCTCTGGTTTGTCCTGAAACAAACCAAACCAACAAACAAACCAAAAGTATCTCTACTAAAGAAAGTATCTAGAAAACATTACCACTGTTATAAATTGGTATTAAAATTCAATGAGTTTAAAGATGGTAGGTTTAGAGCTCCTTCTGACCTTTGTCAAGGTCCCCTTTTAAAAAGAAAAATCACACCTGGATGACAGTAAGCAAGACTAACTTGTTTAAAACATTCAGTAGCAGTCATTTGACTTGAAAAATTAAATGCGTTCAAGGATTAAAACTGCTTATTTTCTCCTAGGTTCCTTTCTGATGCTTAGTCTGATTGATGGAGAGTATAATAAAGAAAGGGGAGCGTGTGTACTGCATGCTGACAGCAATCCTTTCTCACAATAGTGTTATCATTTAATTGATTAGGAGAGTGCTCAGATGATCAAAGAAGTGGAAGTGGATAAAGTGAGAGTGCTGGAAAGAAAACAAGTTGAAGCAATCAAGAAGCTCTGGGAAGACTCAGGAATTCAAGAATGCTACGACAGACGGAGGGAGTACCAACTCTCAGACTCTGCTAAGTAGTAAGTACACTGTGTAATTACAAGGACAAGCCAGACTTAATGAAGTTAATCATAGAATCATTTAGGTTGGAAAAGACCCTTAAGATTATAGAGCCCAACCGTTAACCTAGCGCTACCAAGTCCACCACTAAACCATGTCCCTAAGCACCACATCTACACATCTTTTAAAATACCTCCAGAGATGGTGACTCAACCGCTTCCCTGGGCAGCCTGTTCCAATGCTTGACAACCCTTCCGGTGAAGAAATTTTTCCTGATATCTAATCTAAACCTCCCCTGGCACAACTTGAGGCCATTTCCTCTTGTCCTATCGCTTGTTACTTGGGAGAAGAGAGCAACACCCACCTCGCTACAGCCTCCTTTCAGGTCGTAGAGAGCGATAAGGTCTCCTTGAGACTCCTTTCCTCCAGGCAAGACAACCCCAGTTCCCTCAGCCGCTCCTCATAACACTTGTTCTCTCTAGACCCTTCAACAGCTTTGTTCCTTCCTCTTTGCTCCAGCACCTCAATGTCTTGTAGTGAGGGGCCCAAAACTGAACACAGTATTGGAGGCGCGGCCTCACCAGTGCCGAGTACAGGGGCACGATCACTTCCCTGCTCCTGCTGGCCACACTATTTCTGATACAGCCAGGATGCCATTGGCCTTCTTGGCCGCCTGGGCACACTGCTGACTCATAATGAAGAGATAGGTTCACTCTGATTTTATTAGTTATACCTGTATCTCTAGTGGCCTGTGGTACACAACAAATTTTAAGGTGGGAGTGATGAAGCAAACTAATTTTAGGCTTTCTGAACATACCTCATCCCTCCCAGTTCTGAGGTCAACACAGCTGGTACATAACTGAGTTTCCCTTGGGGGAAATAGTGAAAAACAGCTGTACAAAATATATTGACAACAAGCGGGCAGGTCAGACAGTTCAGTTACATGAAATGTTTAGGATATAAATAAGAATGAAGATAAGTCTTTCCCCCAATTTTCAAAGAATTTAATTGTGAAAAAATTATTGCTTCATGAGAACAGAAAATTTACATTTCTGTTTCTGTCAAGGTTTAGAAGTTACAGGGTTAAATTTCAGCAAGGAACATTTAGATTAGTCATTTATGGTAAACTTGAACTCAGAATGGTTACACATAGGCAATCTGTTCCTATGTGTTAAGCATTATCATTCTTGACAGATGTTTGTCTGCCTTGTTATTAAGTAATCCTACATTGGAGAAGAAGGATGCCACTTAATGGTCTACTGTAGCCTCATTTTCCAAGAAATCAGCCACAATTGAAAATCAGTTTTATTTTAAATTTTATTAAATCTTCCTTTTACTGTTAATTACAATTGAGATCTCAATAACAATTTGCTACATTGCTGGAGAGGAGAAATTTTCCTAAGAGAAAGCTTTTCTAAGTCATTAAGTGCTGCAAATATTTTTGATTTTGGACCGCAAATGTGAGGGATGTTTGGGCAGCAAGGGGAGAATACATCGACACCCTCCTTCTTCCACCAAAGGAAAAGGGCGCGAATTAGTGCTTAAATAAAGGAAGGTTTGTGCTACAATCATGTTGTATGATTTAGAATATACCTTACACTTTTTGTATGCCTTGTTAGGATTTTGGATGATCTAATGTTGCCTTCTGGTGGTGGCAAGATAGACTGCAGAGAGGAATACCAGGCATCAGCTCTTTGTGTCTTGCTCACACACTGCTCATTTATTGAGGCACAGGAATGTCATCCTACAATTTAATCCCAGCCATGAAAAGCACAAGAGCCTGAGGAAACTAGGAGGGTAAAGTTAAGAATGACTGTGTGGGCAGACGAGAAACTAAATGCATCATCGTTGATATTAAAAATATATGTTTGAGGCATTCATGTTTGCAGTGCTTTCTGTTAATTACTTTTCTGAATTCTGTCCAGCAACCTTTCACATTTGTGTGCAATATTAGCATCATGGATGAAGTGAAGGGATAAAAGTACTGTTGGTAAACATTATGGCTAGGACTGATATTTATATTTGTGTTCAAGTCTCAATTCTGATTTTAATTCTGGGGTAATAGCAAAGATTATGCAAATAAAATTCATCATTTTGAGCGTGGACTGATTATCTATAGAACATTCAGGCATCATCTCTTTTGACTAGTAGTATTCTGTCTGAAAAGTACATGTAGGTCTTAGTTAAAGTAAAGGGTTTTATTGTTTTATGCCAGCAGCAATTGCACTAAGGCCATGCACAACTGAATTTCTGTTTAGCTGCTTTTGTGGTAACACTTCTGTGATTGCTGGTTAGTACTTTGGTTTTGAATCTGTGTGATTAATTTATGACAGTGCATTAATCTTGTTTCTGTTGTATATTTAACTTTTCAGTTATCTTACTGACCTTGATCGTATTGCTATGCCTTCATTTGTGCCAACTCAGCAAGATATTCTTAGAGTCCGAGTGCCAACTACAGGAATTATTGAGTATCCTTTTGATTTAGAAAATATTATATTTAGGTAAGAGTGCCTGTCAAGTGATTCAGTATACAAGTATGAAAGTAGTTGCTGCAACTTTACTTCTATGGTCCTGTAAGCTTTTGCATTCAACGAGTGTTGTATGTGTTTCCAGCCCTTTTAGTTTCCAAAGTTAATACAGTTAACTTGAGTGGTGTTTCAAAACATTCCTTTTGAAATTTACATTACATGAAAAAAGCTTTTCAATTCAAGCAGCCCAACTGCTGTGTATTCTGAACTATTAGTTTAATTAAAAGTCTTGGATGGGGGGTGCAGAGGCAAGGTATTTGTAGTAACATGAGTGCTAATATTGGAATGTAGTTTAATTCCATTTAGAGCCAACAGTTTTTGCCTCCTGAGTAACCGTTTGGAAGAGAGGGCCCTAATAGATACATTAAAGCCCTCAAGTGAGTTTATAACTTTCAGTTAGGTAAAGTTAGGGAATGGAGTTGGAGACACTGAGGGAAGGAGGAGGGGAAAAAAAAAAGTGGAGGGTCACGACAGTAGATACTTCTATTCTTCCTGCCATATAATATAAAAAAAAAAATGTTCAGTGGAATTGAGAGAAACAAATGTACTCATAAAGTTGAAAGAAAGTCTGAGAAGCACCTTAAAATTACCTTAACTGCTACTAGACAAGCTATTGCAACAGGTGGGGTTACTGATTTTCTAAGGGAAAGCCTATTTTTTTATTTCAAAATTGCAGAATTCACACTAGCATGATTATAGATGTTCTTCCATCAAACCACCCATTTCATCATGAACAAACACCTGCCTGCAGTTACCACACAGAACCAGAATCCACTCTGATAATACATGATCAAACCAGCCTAACTGTGATTTTGTGGTTGGTTTGTTTTTTCCTGGAAAATTGAATGTTCTAGGGAGCATTTTGACCTGGATAAGATGTGAGGCACTTAACTGTCTGCAAAACCATAGGAATTTGATTTAGAACGAAGATATTTGTGAGCATTTTGATTGTTTTAAGGAGGGAGAGATGACTACACTGGGGTTTGCGGGTGACAAGAGAGATTTTGGAGTGTGTGGGGAAACAAAATTGAGTATGTTTACATCTGCCTTTGCTAAAACTTCTACCAACACAGAAAAAAACCCCAAAATTATATTTTGTATTTGCCTCAAGTGGCTTATACACTTGTATGGGCCTGGCTAGGATAAAGTTTATTTTCTTCATAGCAGCTGATGTGGTGCTGTGTTTTAGATTTGTAATCAAGAGAGTACTGATGACGTACCAGCGGTTTAGCTTTTGCTGAACAGTGTTTGCACAGCACCAAGGCCTTCTCTTTTTCTCTGCCCCTCCAGTGAATAGGTTGGGGGGTGCACAAGAGTTTGGGAGGGTACACAGCCAGGCAGATGATCTGAACTAACCAAAGACATATTTCACACCATATAATGTCATGGTTAGTGATAAAAGTGAAAAAAGGGGGCTTTAGGGAGGTTGGCCATCTTTTTCTTGGGAACTGGTTGGGCATCAGTCTACCCATGGGAGGTGGTGAGTGATTGCCTTTGCATCACTTGTTTTGTTTTCTTTATCTCTTCTTCCACTTATCCTTCACTTATTAAACAATTATTTTTATTTTTAATCTCAACCCCCAAGTTTTCTTGCTTTTACTCTTTCTTTCCTCTCCCCCTGTCCACCCACAGTATCTGGGGGTAGTGAGCAAGCGGCTGTGTTGTGCTTAGCTGCCCACTGGGATTAACCCACAGCAACACTAAAGAACAGTGAAAGCTGTAGCACTACAGCAAGCGAATCAAGTTTAAATATGAAACAGAACATACAATGTTAAGATATACTTTTCACAGTTCAAGCTTATCTCAGGTAGGTGATCTATTATAAGGCCTTTGGATATACTTATAGTATCTTATGAAAATTACTAATATATTGACTGTATTTTGGTTTAACAGGATGGTGGATGTAGGTGGCCAAAGGTCAGAAAGAAGGAAGTGGATCCATTGTTTTGAAAGTGTTACTTCCATCATTTTCTTAGTTGCATTAAGTGAATATGATCAAGTCTTGGCAGAATGTGACAATGAGGTAAGGAGTGGGGGTATCTAAATAAGGTACAGAAAAAGATGTATGCTTTTTTAAGAAAGACAGCATTCACATGTCTTCATAAAAGCATTTGCACTAGAATTACATTAAGAAGGTGGTGGAGCAGTCCCAAAGTTGTATTAAATTAGCAGCCTGTCTCTAAAAGTGAACTCTACCTTAAAAGACAAAACATGATTTAAAAATGTTTTAAATCACTTAAGCCATGTCAAATGTTTGAGAGTTTGAGTATCGGCAGTATCTCTAAGCAAGTAAAACTACCTCAGTCATCTGTAATTAGGGGGTTTTTTGTTTTGTTTTTTAAGTCTCTGATGTTTCAGAATTAACCTGTGCATTAATTAAGGAAAATTAAAACAAAATAACTTAAAATTTACCTCCTTCCCAAGGTTAGAAAACATGAGTTCTCCCATCTGTTCTAAAGTGCCATCAGCAGCAGTAGCCAGATGTTGTAGAGAAGGATGCAAAAAAGAAAACAGTAGGCAGTTAGAGAAAAGCATTATTAGTGGAACTGCATTTGTTTTGGTAGTGGTTGCTTTACATCCTGCAGTATGAGGATTCCTTCAAATGTCCTTCAAAAACACTTAATACCATTTGAACTGTAAATTCGCAAAGCCCTTACAGGTCACTTTCTCCAGACATGTTTGAACTGTGAAAAGCATGCCCTACTTCACTTGCTGAAGTGTCACAACATCCATTGTACTTGAAATAGAGTTTTCAAAAAGTTCCCTGTCATCTTTTGATGCATGAACAACTTTGGTAACTGTAGCTTTCTTTTTCCTTTCACCATCTTGAACATTTTGTTATGCTTACTTTGGACATTAGGAAATAAATAACGAACTGACTGCTATCACAAGTTTGTCCCCAGGAACTCCAAACAGCAATCTCTGAACGTGGTGTTCCTTAGAACTCTCTTGAAATGAACAGACTTTATTACTAGTCTAGATGAGTACATATACTCTTGTCCTTTAGCTATGTACAGTATGTTAATATCAGATATTTGACCCGATACACCCTGCTTCAGCTCTCACTGTGAGGTCAGAAGACTGCTTCAGAAGAGCAGCAGTCCATGGCTGCTCACTAACTCATGTAAGAACTCAAATAATTTCTATTATTAAGGCTTACCTTGATTTCACATGCCATCATGCCATTCATAGCAGTGATCCAAACCCCAGTGAGTAAAAGGATATAGAACATGTGGAGTAATGATCAACCAATGCTTTGCAATTGCGCTTAATAAAATAATATTTTTTAAAAAGCTTTCAAAAAAACCTTTTTGATCTCTGGCTGATGTGATTTGTATATGCTACTGTCTAGAGAGTGTAACTTCATATTAATTTTTGTTGTTGTAGAATCGAATGGAAGAAAGCAAGGCCTTATTTAAAACTATCATTACATATCCCTGGTTTCTGAATTCTTCAGTTATTTTGTTTTTAAATAAAAAAGATCTTCTAGAAGAGAAAATAATGTATTCCCATCTAATTAGTTACTTTCCAGAATACACAGGTAAGCATTTTTCCCAGACTATCTTCACAAAGCTAAAAGTCACATTTAAACCAATTAGTTTTTCCTCATTAAATTGAACAGGGAAAGTGGAATTATGCAATATATTTGGTATCTATTTTTTTCTACTCTATCCTTTAAAATACAAACGTAAGTTACTCAGTTTTACTGGAACTTTGTTTTTTTACTGGAGCATTGCGGACAGAGTCTTAAGAGGTTTCTTGCAGCCATTCTGTTACCATTAGAGTGGCACGATCACTATTTATTTATGAGAAGCACCTTTTTCATCTTCGATCTCAAGAGACAAGATACAGGGGGAACTTGGGGAATCTTGCTATTATTCCAACTCTTTATATAGTAAAACCCCATAGTACAGATTTGCATTCATTATTATAACTTGTTACCTATACAAAAATCCAAAGTTAAAAAACTGGCTGAATAACTTTCCTTAACAAATATTACTGATACTTAGTCACCAAAAGAATGATGAAAATAATCACAAATGCATTCCATTACTTAATACAGTATTATATTCTGCAAGATATGTATCATGTTGAATCCTACAGTTAATAATGAAAAGAATTACAATAATCTAGTAGCTACAGAGAAAACGCACATCCCTCTCTTGGCCAAAGAGAATCCTGTTTGTGTGTTTTAGAAAATTTAATTTCTCTCATGGTCTTTGACATACTACAATAATGTAGCAAACTATTAATATATGCTGGGCAATGTCAGTTGCGTAGGCTTTTATAAAAAAATTACTTTGACCCGTAAGGTTTACTGTTGAAAAAAGCATACTCCACACGTTTTAGAAAGCAGTGTTGTAACAGCTTTTGCTCCACTAACATACGAATGAGAAAATGCCAAGAAGGGAGTATGCCTTTATGGCAATTTCACCTTTAAATATGAAATTAGCCTTTTAAGATACTGTCCATATGTTTCTTCCTTGACCCATAGCTTTTAACTGTTCAAAACCACTAATTGTGCTTTTGATTAGGACCTAAACAAGATGTCAAAGCTGCTAGAGACTTCATTTTGAAGCTGTATCAGGATCAGAATCCAGACAAGGAGAAAGTAATCTACTCCCACTTCACTTGTGCCACGGACACAGAAAATATTCGTTTTGTCTTCGCTGCCGTCAAGGACACGATCCTGCAGTTAAACCTGAGGGAGTTCAACCTGGTTTAAAGAAAAAACATGGTTGCAGCCACAATACTCACAGCACAGCCTGTATTGATTACAAAAAAAAAAGGTGTCTTTTTAAATACTATTTACAGAAATCGGAGGAGGATTTATATTTACTGAAGAAGTATGGATTAAGAGAACTGTAAAGAATGAGTTTCAAAGTTTACTTTTTGAGCTATACATTTAAAATACTGTGTTCGTATTTCCCATATTAGATTTGTCTGTGGGTTATTTTTTTGACGGCTGTGGGAATTAAGTGTATTTAGAAGAATGTGCATAACTACATTGCTGTGTACTTTCTTAAGATTTTTCTTTTTTTTTCTTTCCTTTTTTATTTAGCATTTACAATCATAGCTTATAAAATTTCAAACAGTGATGCCTTAAAAATGACAAGTTAGTGTTATTTTAGGGTGCTAGACATTTTTATATTCTTGTTCTGAGCAATGTAGTTGAAAGACTAGGGTAAACCTATTACACTTTTTAGAAGCATCTCTCAGCAGCCTTCATAGGCCAAACCTGATAATGGTCTAGGAATCATTACAAAAGATTAGTTATTGGTGACCCTTGTGTATCACTGCCTTTTTGTTCAAGTGCCTTACAATAATAAGATACCTTTCACCGTTGAGGAATGACAGATTAAGATCTTCTAGGCAGTCCATAGAATTAACTCTTCTCTGAAGGGGAAAAGCATTTCTCAAACAGCAAGGCATTTAGCGAACGTTCTCAGCATTCACTGCCACAGGTGCTCGGCAATCATCTGCAGCTGCCTGCTATAAAGTAGGCCTTAAATTCCTCCAAGTCACTAACATAACTTGCTTTTGGCACTTTGCATTTTCCTGTTGTTGAGCTTCATGGGTAGTTTTGCATGGATTAAAGAGCAGCAAAGCCTCTGCTCTAGATTTCCAGCCATTTTCCCATCTCCTCCACTCCCTGCCCAACTACAAACCATGTCCACTAAAGATGCCAGCGCCTCCAATAGCTTAGTCAATTCTCCTTCACTGGGTCAAAAATTCTCAGACACTAGGGCAAGCTTGAAAGCCTTTTTTACCCATACAAAATTTGTGGTAGTCACTGGCACTTGATCAGCTAACCCAGCAACACTGGTAAGGAGAGTGTTTCAGTAGAAGAGTCATTTATTAGCAGTAATTTAGCCCAAAAAGATGTGCTGAGGTTCTCGTGTATTTAAATACACGACAATTCCATTTTTCCAGGAAGAAATATTATAGCAATAGTTTTTACTATCAGCATAAAATAGCAATTTCTGTGCAGCACAGAAAAAATTCAGGTTATATTGACTTTTCATCTTGAGTAGTGCTTCTGTATATTCAGCCAGGTTGATGGCTTTTGCACTTCAGTCCTGTGAAAAGCACACCCTGACCTTTCACTGCCCATAAAAAATGTTTATCGGTTCACATATTAAACAGCACAGTTCCCTTTTGTCCAGCAGTACAGAAAAAGTAAAGTATGTCCAGAACTGGTTTTGGTTGCTAAGGAGAAAACAGCCTGTAACATTTAATTCATTTGTTCTTTCTTTAGTGTTGGGACAAGCAGCAGAAGCCTGTTCTTACACTGCTGTAACGGCTTTCTGTGAGGGAAGGACACGGACCTATATACATTGTGCCCATATTAGTGAGTGGCAGTAATTAACACTGAGGGAACAGTGCAGTACACCCTGGGATGAGGTGCAGGGTGCGGCGCCAGCCGCTGAACAAGAGGCGGCCACAGGGGAGTGACAGAAAGCACGGAATAAAACAGCACGGCTGTGCGTGTCGTCTGTGTCCCCGACATCTCATCTCTACACTCGCTCAGAAGCACTGACATGATGACAAGTCCTCAGACCTGCTGTCCTCGACAAACCTAAACTAATCACTAATTCAAAAGCAGTTCTTGTAATAAAATCTGGAGATGCTGAAGTTTTACATTAACTTAAGAACTTCCAGTCACATGAAAAGATGACGTCAAAAATACTTTTTCTAGGGCAGTAGATCTGATGGAGGAAAGCATATGAAATCCCCAAACACTTGAACTGCTTGATCCAGTTTTGAGCTCCGTGGGAACTTCTGGAAAAATGTCTGTATAAACTCCTGGCAGTTCCGTATCTTGAGTTTATCCAGATCTGCTGTTTATGTGAAGAGCACATTGGCGCCATGAATTTGGGAGCCTGGCTTTGCTGGAGTACAATCGTTGCAGATTGTGAGACAGTTAGCATTTTACAGGACCCATCAGTAGAAGAAAGCTTTTCTTTCATACTTCACAGCCAACTTCTTACTTAAAAACATTCACGAGAGCAGTTACCAAGACAAACTTCTGCACATAGTTCTCAATCTCCTTGATGCAACAAAGAATGAAAACCCACAAAGATAAAAAACTGGGAGACATCCAGCAAAGAGAGAGTTCAGTTTTTCTCCCTTTTTGCCTATTAGTGTCCTACCACATTACGCCTGTTGTGGCATGTTTGTTTCAGCCTTTGATATATTGATCTGGAGATGATGAGTTAATAAAAATGAATGGCATGGACATTCTTTTACTCCTTGTAGGAGGAGACTTGAAAGCCAATTTACTCCTCCCTTGAAATATTACAAGAATATTTAGAATTCTTGTTCTAGATTTGCCCGAAAACAATCAAAACCTCTTTATAAAACCCCTGTTGTCTGCTGTGAGTGGAATTTTAGATCCCTAGATCCCACTTGCAGTCACAAAAGCAAAAATTGTGACCAAGATCATGGTTGCATTTCTTAGGTCAAATAACAAAGCTCAAGCTCCTAGGTAATGCATATATGTACTTGCATATACTGGCCAGAAAATTCCAAATTAATCCACTGGTAAGAAGAACAACGGGCAAATCTTGACTAATAGACTTGCAGGCAGGAAAAAAGATGTCAGCTATCTGCTAATTAGATCAGTTTAGACAGAAAAGCGTAAGGCATTCAAGAATTGCATAACCAAACTATGACAATTTGCATTTCGAGAGAAATTCTGATAAACACAGATGTTTTCTCTATGAAAATGTAAAATGCCTTGTAAAATTTTGATCTGCATAATGAAACAAGTATTGTGATACACACAAAAAACAAACCTAAGTCAGAAACGCTTTGCACTGTATCTGAGATAATTACATAGAATCATAGAATCTTGGAGTTGGAAAAGACCTCTAAGATCATCGACCCAACACCACCATGCCCACTAAACCATGTCCCTAAGCGCCTCATCTAGATGTCTTTTAAATACTTCCAGGGATGGTGACTCAACCACTTCCCTGGGCAGCCTGTTCCAATGTTTAACTACTCTTTCAGTAAAGAAATTTTTCCTTACATCCAATCTAAACCTCCCCTGGCGCAACTTGAGGCCATTTCCTCTCGTCCTTTCGCCAGTTACTTGGGAGAAGAGACCGACACCCACCTTGCTACAACCTCCTTTTAGGTAGTTGTAGAGAGCAATGAGGTCTCCCCTCAGCCTCCTTTTCTCCAGGCTAAACAACCCCAGCTCCCTCAGCCGCTCCTCATAAGGCTTGTTCTCCAGACCCCTCACCAGCCTCGTTGCCCTTCTCTGGACACGTTCCAACATCTCAACATCCTTCTTGTAGTGAGGGGCCCAAAACTGAACACAGTATTTGAGTGGCGGCCTCACCAGTGCCGAGTACAGGGGCACTATCACTTCCCTGCCCCTGCTGGCCACACTATTTCTGATACAGGCCAGGATGCCGTTGGCCTTCTTGGCCGCCTGGGCACACTGCCGGCTCATGTTCAGCCGGCTGTCGACCA